ACCACCAGACAGGTTATTACAGTACTAACCTACCACCAGTCAGGTTATTACAGTACCAACACCTACCACCAGACAGGTTATTACAGTACTAACACCTACCACCAGTCAGGTTATTACAGTACTAACACCTACCACCAGACAGGTTATTACAGTACCAACACCTACCACCAGACAGGTTATTACAGTACCAACACCTACCACCAGACAGGTTATTACAGTACCAACACCTACCACCAGACAGGTTATTACAGTACTAACACCTACCACAAAGAGGTTATTACAGTACTAACACCTACCACCAGTCAGGTTATTACAGTACTAACACCTACCACCAGACAGGTTATTACAGTACTAACACCTACCACCAGACAGGTTATTACAGTACCAACACCTACCACCAGACAGGTTATTACAGTACCAACACCTACCACCAGACAGGTTATTACAGTGCAACACCCACCACCAGACAGGTTATTACAGTACTAACACCTACCACCAGTCAGGTTATTACAGTACTAACACCTACCACCAGACAGGTTATTACAGTACTAACACCACCACCAAAGAGGTGTTATTACAGTACTAACACCTACCACCAGTCAGGTTATTACAGTGCCAACACCTACCAATTGTCAGGTTATTACAGTACTAACACCTACCACCAAAGAGGTTATTACAGTACTAACACCTACCACCAGTGAGGTTATTACAGCCAACACCTACCACCAGTCAGGTTATTACAGTACTAACACCTACCACCAGACAGGTTATTACAGTACTAACACCTACCACCAGACAGGTTATTACAGTACCAACACCTACCACCAGTCAGGTTATTACAGTACCAACACCTACCACCAGACAGGTTATTAAGGAAACACCTACCACCAGACAGGTTATTACAGTGCTAACACCTACCACCAGTCAGGTTATTACAGTACTAACACCTACCACCAAAGAGGTTATTACAGTACTAACACCTACCACCAGTCAGGTTATTACAGTACCAACACCTACCACCAGACAGGTTATTACAGTACCAACACCTACCACCAGACAGGTTATTACAGTGCTAACACCTACCACCAGACAGGATTACAGTACTAACACCTACCACCAGACAGGTTATTACAGTACCAACACCTACCACCAGACAGGTTATTACAGTACCAACACCTACCACCAGACAGGTTATTACAGTACAACACCTACCACCAGAGCAGGTTATTACAGTACCAACACCTACCACCAGACAGGTTATTACAGTACTAACACCTACCACCAGACAGGTTATTACAGTACTAACACTCACCAGACAGGTTATTACAGTGCCAACACCTACCACCAGACAGGTTTATTACAGTACTAACACCTACCACCAGACAGGTTATTACAGTACTAACACCTACCACCAGACAGGTTATTACAGTACTAACACCTACCACCAGACAGGTTATTACAGTACTAACACCTACCACCAGACAGGTTATTACAGTACCAACACCTACCACCAGACAGGTTATTACAGTACCAACACCTACCACCAGACAGGTTATTACAGTACCAACACCTACCACCAGACAGGTTATTACAGCCAGGTTGTTTTCATAGGTATTATCGCCGAGTGCCACTTTAGGGCGAGCCACTTTGTCGCCTCTCTCTCTCTCTCTCTCTCTCTCTCTCTCTCTCTCTCTCTCTCTCTTTTTTATGTTCTCACTATTTGTGTGTGTGTGTGTGTACCGTGTGTGTGTGTGCATATGTGTACCGTGTATGTGTCCCATGTGTGTGTTATATATGTGTGTGACAATGCACCAGTCAGTCATATAGGCCTTATCGCTGTTGGATAAAGTCGATAACAAGTAGATAACACTGTGATGGAGATGTAGTAGATGTAGGTATGGACGGGGTAGACGGATGACGGTAGGTGACGTAGTACAGTAGACAGTGTAAACATTGGCTTGTGAGTCGGTGAGATAGTGATGGTATGGACGTGACAGGGATGACGGTAGATGATCAGTACAGTAGATAGTGTAAACATTGGCTTGTGAGTCGGTGAGATGTAGTGGATGTATGGACGGGTAGACAGGGATGACGGTAGATGACGGAGTACAGTAGATAGTGTAAACATTGGCTGTGAGTCGGTGAGATGTAGTGGATGTAGGTATGGACGGGGAGACAGGGATGACGGTAGATGACGGTAGTACAGTAGATAGTGTAAACATTGGCTTGTGAGTCGGTGAGATGTAGTGGATGTAGGTATGGACGGGTAGACAGGGATGACGGTAGATGACGGAGTACAGTAGACAGTGTAAACATTGGCTTAGAGTCGGTGAGATGTTTATATAAAATTGTACCAAATTTGTTCTCTGGTTTGATTTAATGTACGAATGTTAAATTGTGTGTAATGTATATGGTGTGTTCTGTATGTGTTATTGTGTTATGTATGTGTTATTGTGTATGTATGTGTTATTGTGTGTTATGTATGTGTATTGTTATGTATGTGTTATTGTGTGTTATGTATGTGTTATTGTGTGTTATGTATGTGTATTGTGTGTAGTATGTTGTATGTGTTGTTGTGTTATGTATGTGTATTGTGTGTAGTGTATGTGTTATTGTGTTATGTGTGTGTGTGTTATGTATGTGTTATTGTGTGTAGTGTATGTGTTATTGTGTATGTATTGTGTTATTGTAAGTATGTGTTATTGTGTTATGTATGTGTTATTGTGTGTAATGTATGTGTTATTGTGTGTTATGTATGTGTTATTGTGTGTAATGTATATGTTGTGTGTTCTGTATGTGTTATTGTGTTATGTATGTGTTATTGTGTTATGTATGTGTTATTGTGTGTTCTGTATGTGTTATTGTGTTGTGTGTGTTCTGTATGTGCTATTGTAAGCCGCGTATGTGTTGCGCTATGGCGTGTTATTGTGTGTTGCGTATGTGTTATTGTGTTGCGGCAAAAAGTTATTGTGTTATGTATGTGTTATTGTGTGTTGGTGTATGTGTTATTGTGTGAGTGTATGTGTTATTGTGTTATGTATGTGTTATTGTGTTATGTATGTGTTATTGTGTGTTCTGTATGTGTTATTGTGTTGTGTGTGTTATTGTGTTATGTATGTGTTATTGTGTTATGTATGTGTTATTGTGTTATATATGTGTTATTGTGTGTTCTGTATGTGTTATTGTGTTATGTGTGTGTTATTGTGTTATGTATGTGTTATTGTGTTATGTATGTGTTATTGTGTTATGTATGTGTTTATTGTGTGTTATGTATGTGTTATTGTGTTATGTGTGTGTTATTGTGTTATGTATGTGTTATTGTGTTATGTATGTGTTGTTATGTATGTGTTATTGTGTTATGGCGTAAGTATTGTGTTATGTATGTATATTGTGTGTTACGGCGTGTTGGATTGCGTTATGTATGTGTTATTGTGTAAGTGTATGTGTTATTGTGTTATGTATGTGTTATTGTGCTTATGTATGTGCTATTGTGTTATGCGTAAGCATTGTGTTATGTATGTGTTATTGTGTGTCTGGTATGTGTTATTGTGTGTAGTGTATGTGTTATTGTGTTATGTATGTGTTATTGTGTTATGTATGTGTTATTGTGCGTTATGTATGTGTTATTGTGTGTGTTCTGTATGTGTTATTGTGTTATGTATGTGTTATTGTGTGTATGTGTTATTGTGTTATGTATGTGTTATTGTGTTATGTATGTGTTATTGTGCAGTAGTGTGTATGTGTTATTGTGTAATGTATGTGTTATTGTGTGTTATGTATGTGTTATTGTGTTATGTATGTGTTATTGTGTGTTATGTATGTGTTATTGTGTGTAGTGTGTGTTATTGTGTTATGTATGTGTTATTGTGTGTTATGTATGTGTTATTGTGTTATGTATGTGTTATTGTGTGTAGTGTATGTGTTATTGTGTGTTATGTATGTGTTATTGTGTGTAGTGTATGTGTTATTGTGTTATGTTTGTGTTATTGTGTGTAATGTATGTGTTATTGTGTGTTATGTATGTGTTATTGTGTGTAGTGTATGTGTTATTGTGTTATGTGTGTGTTATTGTGTTATGTATGTGTTATTGTGTGTTATGTATGTGTTATTGTGTGTAGTGTGTGTTATTGTGTTATGTTTGTGTTATTGTGTGTTATGTATGTGTTATTGTGTGTAGTGTATGTGTTATTGTGTGTAGTGTATGTGTTATTGTGTTATGTATGTGTTATTGTGTGTAGTGTATGTGTTATTGTGTTATGTATGTGTTATTGTGTTATGTATGTGTTATTGTGTGTTCTGTATGTGTTATTGTGTGTAGTGTATGTGTTATTGTGTTATGTATGTGTTATTGTGTGTAGTGTATGTGTTATTGTGTTATGTATGTGTTATTGTGTGTTATGTATGTGTTATTGTGTTATGTATGTGTTATTGTATTTATATCTTAACAACTCACGTCCTAGATACTGTATACACTTGTCTATGTGTATGTACGTGTGTGTACTGTATATACAGGGTGTTCACAAAAGATCTGAACGATTTGACCCTTTAATATTTTCCATAATAATTCAGACATAAAGCTAGAGCCACGTGTAAACGATAGAGTAACTATTAAGGCGGCGTCACACTGGCTTTCTTTCGTCGATTTTTTTGTCAACTTTCAGAAAATCGTCAAACTTTTTGTTGTGCACCGTCACCCATGAATTTAGAACCACTGGAAAATTTATCTGTTGGCTCCGTCATGTTGTTATTCCCGCGTGGTCAAAATTTAATCGGCAAATTACATTTTCTTAGCTTTTTATAACTATTTGTAGTATCAATTATAGATCTTGATTTGACTCCGGTAAGTTGTCGTACGAGTCGCTAGTACAGACGGTCAGTACTGTTTGACAAAAAACCAACGACAACTCCGACAATTCGTACAAAAATCGACGAGTAATGAAAAAGTTGACAATAGAAATGCTAGTGTGACGCCGCCTTTAATGATTGACGACTAATTTTACTGATATCGCTGGATTAGTCTTGAGGAATCTACCCCCTTGGCCGCCACAATCACCAGACATTACGCCATCGTCTTCCTCTGGAGTTTCGTCAGATATGTTGTGTACAAGACCAAGGTTGCCAACATCCATGAACCACGAATCAGGGTCAGAGAGCTGTAATAGCGGTTGTTGATGCTGCCATACTTGAACGAACATGGCGAGAAATTAAATATCGATTGGCTGTTGTCCGGGTGACCAGTGGCATATCTTAATTTGTATTGAGAATATTAAAGAATCAAATGGTTCAGATCTTTCATGAACGCTGCACAGTATGTCGTGTCGCTGCCCCCCCCCCTCCCCCTCCCCGCACAGTATGGAGGGGGTGGTGTGTTAAAACCCTTCCGTCTGTCAGTCCGTCCACCGTCCATCCGTATGTGTCTGTCATAACATACACCAGGGTTTCTACCCCAGTGGCATCTCATATGTGTAGTGATATTTTTTTTAGTTTTGTAATTATCGGATATTTGTGTTTTTTTTGTGTGTGTGTAATTCTCCTCAGGTGTTTTTTGTATTTTGTGGTCATTGGGGAAAGTTTGTTATTTTTTTAACTGTATTGATTATGTATTTTTGTATTTATTATTGTTTGTATTTTGTATCATACACATATGCCATTTACTAAGAAGTAGTGAAGGTTGTATTCTTGAAAGTATTGTATTACAGGTTGTATTTTCCTGGGAATATACTGCAGATTGTATTACCTTAGTGTATAAGGTTCCTGGTTGTATTTCCTGAGTTTATTGAGCAGTTAGACGTATTTCCCTAAATATACCTCAGGTTGTATACCCAATGTGTGTATGATAAGAGAAATATTGAATATCCTTCCGCAACACACACACACGCACACACGCACACACACACACACGCACACACGCACACACACACACACACACACACAACGTCATATTCCTAAAGGCTTGTATTGCCCCCAAGTGTATTGCGGTGTATGTTGTATATCGTAGCTACACTGTACAACACCTGCCACAGCTCCACAATAAATACGGGTGTTTATGGCGCTCTTCCTCAGCTCGCAGACGCCACAAATTGCTTCACTGTGCTATACCGGTTGAGTAAATGGCAGGTAGTCGCCCCTCTCCTCTCAGCTGGTTATTATGGCGTTACTGGGTGGTTATTGTGGCGTTACTGTTTAGTGTGTCTTTACTAGGTGGTTATAATGGCGTTACTGATTATTGTGTCGTTACCAGGTGGTTATTATGGCGTTATTGCTGATTGTGTCGTTGCTAGGTGGTTATTGTGTCGTTTCCAGGTAGTTATTGTGTCGTTGCTAGGTGGTTATTGTGGCGCTACTGATTGTGTCGTTATCAGGTGGTTCTTGTGGCGCTACTGTTTGTTGTGTCGTTACTAGGTGGTTATTGTGGCGTTACCAGGTGGTTCTTGTGGCGCTACTGTTTGTTGTGTCGTTATTAGGTGGTTATTGTGGCGTTACGAGGTGGTTATCGTGACGCTACTGTTTGTTGTGTCGTTACTAGGTGGTTATTGTGGCGTTACGAGGTGGTTATCGTGACGCTACTGTTTGTGTCGTTACTAGGTGGTTATTGTGGCGTTACTTGGTGGTTATTGTGGGGTTACTTTTTATTATGGCGTTACTAGGTGGTTATTGTGGCGTTACCAGGTGGTTATAGTAGCAATATTGTTTATAGTGGCGTCAATACAGAATTTTGCCAACACTACTTTTATTGTGGCGTTCAGACATGGCTTTATTGTTGATTGTGTTTGTTGTGGCGTTAATGTCTCTCGTGTGGTGTTACTATGTTTTTATAATGGCGCTCTTAAATATTTATTATGGTGTTAGATATACCTGTATGTTTCTTTTTTGTCGAGGGATACTTGTGTGTGTAATAATACTAATAATTAACGGTTTATTAAGATAACACGGCAGTCAGAAGGCTGGAAATATACAATGAACAGAGGTGAGAAGTTACATCTGGTGAAATCGGGGAGTGGGTCACTTGATTGACAAAAGCTTTCAATACAAAAAATATAAGGAACATAGAGTCAACATATAGATCTGGTACTGTGGGAGATGGTCTTGTCTTGTGACCTGATGTTGGTGCCCATTGTCTGGATGGCCGTCGTACCTGGGTGCACCTCACTACAGCTGCAGATGTTAGGACAACCGCCACGTGGTCCGGGTAGGTCCTTCAGCTCACACGGGGTATTGGAGATGGTTCTTGTTCCTTATGTGATGCAGTTAGGAATTCATAGTTCCTCACCTGGGTGGAGTAGGGAGTCATCATTTCCCTCCTGATGTAGTTTGTGTGTGTGTGTGTGTGTGTGTGTGTGTGTGTGTGTGTGTGTGTGTGTGTGTTCATCTCACAGACTGACTGATTCACTTTTTCTATCTGTCTATTTCTGCAGGCCTGTTTGTCACTGACTGTGTCTGTCTATATCACTGACTTTCTGTCAGTCAGCTTGTCTCGTTGTCTGACTGATCGATATTGACATATGCTGATAACCTGTTTCTTCTTTCTCCCAGGTGAGAGTGGTGGCCGACCTGTGATGGTGAGTGACACACACACACTACTTTGCTGTCACTCGGAATCGAGTATGACGACCATCCAGTTATGATATAATATGAGTTATTAAGGATGTTACCTTAGTTGGTGAGCTCTGAGTTGACTCGAGAGGCCGATACGGGATCCACAAGGCCGTCCATAGATGTTGCACGTATGGAGGGCTACTTTTAGTGCGGGAGGGGCAGCGGCAGCATCTTTTCGGCGATGGCGATTGTCTGCCTCGGCATGCATTCCGTCTAACACAAAAGTATTGACACCTTCTCTTGTGGTGCTCCTCCAAGCGCTACTGTGTGGAGTAATCGACTCCCAGGTGAAGGGATCGATTTGGCACTTTTCAAGTTTGTCTTAAGACTATCCTTATACCTTTTCAGTTGCCCGCCGGCGTTACGTTTACTATTCGTTAGGTGACTGTAAAGTAACTGCTTTGGCAGTATGCTGTTTTCCATGCTAGTAACATGGCCAGTCCAGCATAGTTGTTCATGGATAATAGTATTCCCGATGCTTCTACAGTTGATGTCAGGATGAATACTGCCATTTCTTCTCTTGTCTTCCCAGCGACCTCGGAGGATGGAACGTAGACTACGTTCGTGAACGTTTTCAAGTGCCATTGTATTGGACACTGCCGTTCATGCCAGCATGGAGTCGCCTCACAATGGCAATGAGGTTTGGTGGGCAGCCAAAGCGACTGAGGGCTTCCCTGTTGACCGAGTCGAAGGCCTTAGTAAGGTCAATGAAAGCCATGTACAATGAAAGACAAAAGTCTTGTGAAATTTGGTGACAAAATTTGCCGAAGGGGCAAACTTTTGGTGCGCTCTGCCTTGTGGTAGGGCTCTCATAATGTTTCACGATTTATATTTAATCTTCGGACAAAACCGTGGCAGGACTTTTGTCTTTGATTGTACACTCGCACCAAAAAATATCGGTGCAGGGTGAGATCGACGACTTCCGAAACGATACGTATACACTGTGATATGTCGGGAAGGTTGGTAAGTGTATCCTCATAACCCTCCCCTCCCCACTAGGTGTTGCCATATGGCTGACAATCAGTGTGTTTGTTTCCTCTTTTCGGATTGTTGCTTTGTGTCGACTGAATGATGAGCGAGGGTTCGGTCTCGGTGAACGTGGGTATAAAACAGAGGCAATATGAAGCAGTAGAGATCTACACATGCCAGACGACATGGAAACCTCAGAGGGAACACGATGAGCTATTATTGCCCTTCATAACGAAGGGTTCGGCGTCACAGATATTAGCCAGCGGGTTGGTGTCCACAGGAACACCGCTGCACGATGGATTCGGCGATACCTCGAAACTGGTGCTACAGACGACAGGTCTCGAAGCGGCCGTCCACGCTGCACCACCCCTCAGGACGACCAGGTCGAGTGGTTTATTTGGTAACATAAATTAATGTGGCAATATTCACAAGTATCACAAATAATTTTGTTAACAGGGAGCTCCTCATATTTCATACTGTCTATTTATCACTGCCCGACCTTATTTATAACGGTTTGTTTCACTTGACCAGGGCTGCCAACATACGGGTGGAATAACTCGCCTTTCCCAATACCTATCGCCACTGGTCTCAAATTATTCACACTACAGTATGCACCGATACTTTTTGTTGCGAGTGTACACTCGATAAAAAAAGTATCTTTCATAACGACTCCGATGAATTTTGATCTGATCAATCCATATGCAGGGCTACCAATGCGAGGTATGACTCGTGTGCTTTTACCAAAAACTTTCGTTCGTGGAGTCATTTTGTTTCGTACAAGATTTGTAAAGATAGTTTTTCCCGAGTGTACAAGTCACGATGCTGTTCTTTGCACTTTTCCTGTATCTGGCGGGCAGCAAAGATCATGTCAGTGGTGCCACGTGTTGGTCTAAAGTAGTGTTGGTCAAAAGCAGTGTTGCCAGGTGTTGGTCTAAAGCAGTGTTGCCAGGTGTTGGTCAAAAGCAGTGGTTCCCAAACCTTTTTGGTCGTGACCCTAAATACAATCTTGTTCTGGCCTGGCGACCATAAATGCCGGTACATTTAGTGTTAATTACCAGTCATTTTGATATGTTCTGTTTATTCATATAGTTTTATTGAATTAATTTAAATTACTAACACATAATGAATTTCAATCAGTTTTTAATTGGACGAAATGAAAAACTAAATTTTTATGAAAAGGAGACTTGATTACACAATTCGGTAACCTAAGTGACAAAACCTGAAATTTTCAGTGGCTAACGATGCTGCTTTATTCTTGGAGTGAGCTCTCCAACTTGACTGATGTTCACATTGAACACATTCTTGATCCAGCTATGCTTCTCGAGGTCAACGTTTTCTGGAAAACACCTGTCCATTTCTTCCTTGGCACACGAGTATTGGACGTGAACGGACTCGAACACAACTATGTTAAGTATATATGGATACTTTATTATCCAAGACTATTCTACGTTAGTTAGTATTTCAATATTAATTCATATTATGCCAGTGACTTGCTCCTCATTTGGGTTGCGACCATGGGTTTGGAACCACTGGTCTAAAGCCACATTGAGATTCTGGGAGGAAGTTTTGCGGCCTCAGGAAGAAGTCCGTTTAGGAAGACTCGTGTGATAATCTTGCCGGTTACAGACAA